GGTCCTCCGTAAGGACATACAGGAAATCAGCAATGAATATGCCCTCCGTAGCTATGTCACATTCATCGCGAATGAGCCAGATAAATCGGATATTGCTTATGGCGGGTCCTTCAACCCGCAGACGGACTTTTCCTGTTCGTCTATTGCGCATGTCAAGGCTCCTGATTTCGGGCCGCTAGGGAAGCCTGGACTCATGAGGAGACCAACATTCCAACCATTGCCTTGTTCGTCGTATATTGCTCCGATGTTACATGGAGACGGTATGGAGGGCCTGTTCTGTTTGCACGAGAATGACATTGAGGCTCTGGCGGAGGATGCGATGTGGAAGGAATTTGTTGAGTATATTGGGTAGGCTTTGGGTATGCTGGCGTTTTGACAAGCCATGATGATTGTTTCTATTTATCTATCGAGTTTGACTGGGCTATTTATCACACTTTGCGCCTCTTCTTGGATACAAGACGTCATTCCATGCAGTTTGTTTGTATTCTTGGCATTCCTTACGTCAATCCATGAACCCTAATTGCATTCGATGTTCCGTGGAGATCCTCTACTGGCCCCCTTTAATACATTCGTTATATAGATGATTACTTCCCTCTCAGGCTATTCCATTGTAAAAGACTGTCTTTACTGGGCTTACGATAGTTTATCGTCTTGCAGGCTCACGACACATCCAAGGACCGACGCATTCAACTACCGTCAGAGCTGGAGCTTTGCAACATCCCATTGCGTATCATGCGAGTTAAGTATCGTCAAATGTGCAATTGACTAGCAAGGCAAAAAAGAAGAACAGAGACAAGCGAGAGCGAGATGTTGAACCCAACGCTATTATTGAGCCTTCTGAGTACGTTCCTCCTTGCCACTGCCGCCGTGGGTGGACGGCATCCGACGGAGGGAATCATCAATCTGGTCCGAAGGAGACTACCAGACCATGTCGATAAGTTCTTATTCTCCTTGGATGGTTCCTCATTGAACTTTACCACGGAAAGCCACCATCAAGACGTGTACACTGTGTCGACACGGGCTAATGGCTCAATTCATGTGGAAGGGAATTCTCGAAGCGCGCTTGCCGCAGGGTATCTCCAACTGAATCCCCCAATTTTACCATGAAGCGTCCTCCTAACGAACCCCACAGTCTCCATCGATACCTTAGTGAGATTGCGCATGTGGATATCTATTGGTTTGTTGGTAGTCGACTACATGCTGTGCCGACATCTCTTCCCAAACTCGACGTGCCGCTGACGGGCGAAAGTATTGTCACATGGCGGTACCATCTCAATCCAGGTAAAGATCTCTTTGACCAGGGCCCTTTCCGATTTAATTGTACTTAATATCACGGCTTATTACTCACATATGCACGGTGCAGTGACATTCTCATACACAACTGCCTTCTGGACGTGGGAAGACTGGGAACTAGAACTCGACTGGGCCGCCCTGAGAGGCGTAAATCTAATCCTCGCCTGGGTCGGATACGAGAAGGTTCTTCTCGACTCGCTCCGAGAGCTCGGAATGACTGACGAGGAGATACTACCATTCTTCAGCGGCCCAGCCTTCCAAGCATGGAACCGACTCGGAAACATCCAAGGCTCCTGGGGCGGCCACGACGTCAGCATAGCATGGCTCGAGGCGCAGTTCGATCTACAGAAGAAAATAGTCAACCGAATCGTGGAACTAGGCATGACGCCCGTACTCCCCGCTTTTCCTGGCTTTGTACCGCCCGCTATAAAACGTGTTCGACCGCATGCGACCGTGGTGAATGGGTCGCAGTGGTCGGGCTTCCCGACGAAGTTTACGGAAGTGTCCTTCTTGAGTCCGCTTGATGAGACCTTTGCCGAGTTGCAGAAGAGTGTAATCTCGACACAAATGCGTGCGTTTGGAAATGTCACGCATGTTTATGCGCTGGATCAGTTTAATGAGATTAATCCGGCTTCTGGGGAGCTAGGGTACCTTCGGAACTTGTCGCTGCATACCTGGCGGAGTTTGAAAGCAGCCAATCCGGCTGCTGTATGGATGATGCAGGGGTGGTTGTTCTATGATAAGAAGGACTTTTGGGATACCAGTCGAATCTCAGCCTACCTGAGCGGGGTGGAGAGGAATGATGATATGCTCCTTCTAGACCTATACTCAGAGTCGAAGCCGCAGTGGCAACGGACAAAGTCATATTTCGGAAAGCCATGGATCTGGTGCCAGTTACACGACTTTGGTGGAAATATGGGCTTGTACGGGCAAATTATGAACATCACGGCGGATCCTATCCAAGCGTTAAATCAGTCCCACTCGCTCGTGGGATTTGGGCTCACCATGGAAGGCCAGGAAGGGAATGAAGTTGTGTATGATCTACTGTTAGACCAGGCTTGGTCCGCGAAACCGATTGATACGCGAGCATATTTTCGAAACTGGGTCAGCAGTCGATATGCCGGAAACTTCTCAGTACCAAAGGAATTGTATACAGCGTGGGACCTGATGCGGAAGACAGTCTACAATAACACTAATCTCACGACATATTCGGTAACGAAGTCCATTTTTGAGCTTTCGCCGGATGTCGACGGCTTGGCTCACCGTGTTGGTCATTACCCTACTCCTACATCTATTAATTATGATCCAACTGTCTTAAATGAAGTGTGGTCTTTATTTATGAATGCCACGAAGAAAGAACCATCACTCTGGCTAAACCCTGCATATGAATATGATATGGTCGACATCACGCGCCAGCTAATGGGAAACGCTTTCGTCAAGCTCTATTCAGATGTTATAAGTTCATGGAAGTCGGGAACAGATAACAGGGCTGGGGACATCACCTCGCGAGGTCAAACGCTTATTGAGCTTCTATCGGCGATTGAGAAAGTCTTGTCCTGTAATGAGAGCTTCTCCCTTGCAAAGTGGATCTCGAGCGCCAGACACTGGGGACACACCACGACAGAAAAGGACTTCTTCGAGTATAATGCCCGGAATCAGATTACTCTATGGGGTCCTACCGGGGAGATCAGCGATTATGCGTCTAAGGCCTGGTCAGGTCTTATCTCCTCTTACTATAAGCCTCGATGGTCTATCTTCGTGGACTATCTTGCTGAGAGGGACCAGACGAGCTATAACAGCACCGAACTCCGGGAAAGATTAAGAAGGTTTGAGCTGTCATGGCAAGGCCAGAGCGCGCAGCCACGTATATCTTCGGCAAATTCCTCATGTAGGGGACTTGGAATAGTCCTTAGGGATGTGTCACAAAGTTGGCCGTCAATCTTTGGAGATCATGTTAGCGATCAAACTTAGCAAGCACTTTATCATCGGGTGTGGTCGTCCTACATGTCGTCTACTAGATGTCTGCTTACGCGCTTTCCGATCATCGAGCAACTCGGATGCCTCTATCATTGATTATGATACATGCGCATCTGTAGACGAAGGATTACAAGTAGTTACCACCGGAATGACAGGATGTACCATAATATAATGCGATATATCAGATCATACACCGCAGTCTTGTGTCACATTGAAATACTACATTATCGTAAGATTGAGTAGTCACTATCAGCATCTCCACTGATATGAGACACTGATCTCGTAAGTTTCACCTAGGAGTCAACGGCTACTTTGGGAAAGTATCGCAAATCGCCTTCCACCGTCATTCCAGGCAAGCTTCTACTCACTTCGTGATGACTAGAGGAGTTATTCTACCCCTGGAAATAGTTTTGCTCCTTTCTGAGAGGCTAGATCTTCCTACACAGTGGCATGAAGTTCCTGGAGCAACTATGTTCTACAGTATGTCCAATCGAGCACTAGGTAGGCTTTTCTTCTCTGCCCCTTTAGATCACTTGTAACATAATTGTCTGGGGGCTATAAAGTAACACCACGAAAGTCTCATGGAGGGGTCATCTTGGCCGTCATGGTCCTACTGGCCCCGAAAAGCCAAAAATAACTGGAGTCACTGTCGTCCTACTATGTGTAACCATAGTTTGGACTGCATATTCATGCAGAGGTACTTCCGTTATTGCCGTACGCCGTTTCACAAGTCGCACTCCACTACCCACCAATTCGGAGAAAAGATTTTCGACGCTCACCTTCTATGCTGGTTCCCGTCGCCTATGTATGGTCCTGGCGGAGATTATCGGGTGATCTACGCGGACGGACGGGAGGGCAGGCCCGGAAGGTTAAACCAGCCCGATTGCCCGGTTATGTCCTATTGGCTGTCGCATACCCCTGGTTGCACGTGTGCATGGGGCGTTTTGGTTTAGGTTATAGATCAGATAGCGGTATATTGCTATATGAGTGATTTACTTTTCGCTGCTCGAATTGAAGCGGGGCGAAGATGCCGGCAACCGAGGACCCGTCACTTCGGATGTCTGCGTGGTTTATACTTAGGTGGCGAGGTGAGGTTATGGATGGTCAGTGCGGGACAAATGGCAAGTTGTTTGGTGAGGTATGCTGCTCCTGGTGGATGCTGTGAGTGGCTGAGCAGGTCGTTCTGCTCTGGGCTTTGGCTGAGGTTGGACAGATTGTAACGTTCTTCAAATGAGGTGAAACTTCGCGCGAGACCGAACCGTGGTTGCCAATGACCAGATGATATACCGCCCAGTTTTCAATGTGGGTACACAATGTATGGCTGTATGGCCGACGCTCGATTGTTAGTCACGAGGTATAGAATAAACGACGACGGAGTTGATCATAATGCCAATTTCAGATCAAACATGAATAAGAGAGGCGGTTATATCGGACTCTCTCGTTAACCTGTAGTCCACCGCTTAAGCGTCCGACCTATTGCACCGTGAATTGGTTCAATACTCCGTAGATTTACGCCGAGACAATGGAACGATGCCCTCAATCACCAAGTCCCGTAGCGTAGAAGCCTGGCGCCCAGACTCCGTATGCTATTCGGGACATGAAATGTCCAGTTGCTTCAGTTAACCCGTCCAGAATGTAGAGCCCAATCCATACCAACATAGCATGCTGAATACCTCTTCTCTTCGTAAAGACTACAGCCCTTAAACCAGAAGAACAATCCATTAAGCAATATGCTCACCGGCATCCTATCGCGCCTCCGCCTAGCATGGTTCCTTCCGTTCCAAGGAAATCCATCCCCATCGACCAGCCGGGACCCCGAAATCCCACCCCTCGACATCGAAGACGAGCCCCTCGAAATAGCCATCATAGGCTGTGGCATTATCGGTGCAATCCTTGCACTAGGCCTCCTGGCCAAAAATATCAAGGTAACAGTCTACGAGCAAGCCCAGAGTCCCCGCGAGACCGGCGCAGGAATCGCCTTTACGGCCACGCCCGACGGTGCATGTCAATGATCGACCAACGTATTGTCGACTGCGTGGCCGCCGTGGCTACGACCAATGGGGACCCAAGCAATCCAAATAATAATATGCAGTTTGTGGATGGGTATACTCATGACCCGGATGGTCTGGATGATATGAGCTGGAAGAAGCTTTATGAGTTGGCGACAGGGCCGAAAGGGTTTGAGGGGTGTCATCGGGCGCATTTTCTGGAGGAGATTATGAAGCTTATTCCCGGGAGGTTGGTAGAGTTAGGGAAGAGGTTGGATTGGGTGGAGGATTATGGGGTGGGCCAGGTTTTGTTGAAGTTTTGCGATGGGAGTGTTGGGAGGGCGGATGCCGGTGAGTTTCCATTAGATCCAGACCTTGAAGCTTGGTGTTGATATAGGTCCAGTTATCGGATGCGATGGGATCAAGTCCCGTGTGCGCGAGCTCATCCTCGGCGAAGGGGATCCCGCCTCCTATCCGCATTATACACACAAGGTGGCCTATCGAGGGCTAGTCCCCATGGAAGAGGCGACCGCTCGACTGGGCCACTACCGCGCGCACAATCAGCATATGTATGGTGGTCCTAATGCGCATGTCCTTCATTTCCCTGTGGCCAAGCAGACGCTAATGAACGTGGTGGCCTTCGTCACGGACCCCAACGACTGGCCTCTTGACCGCAGCATGTCGCAGCTGGCGACGAAAGATGAAGTCGCTGGCGCCTTTGCGGTCTGGGGACCGACAGTGAGAGGCATCATCGATTTACTGCCCGTTGAGTTGGAGAAATGGGGTGTTTTCGACTCACTGGACTATCCTGCGCCGACTTACTCGCGCGGACGCGTGTGTATCGCTGGTGATGCGGCTCATGCGTCGTCGCCGCATCATGGTGCCGGTGCTGGGATCGGTATTGAGGATGCATTGGCATTGACTGTGCTATTAGACATGGTGCAGTCACGTATTAAGACTCCAGGCGGACGGAAGGCTGCGGCTCTTCAGGCCGCGTTTGCGGCGTTCAGTACGGTGCGTCGTGACCGATCTCAATGGTTGGTGCGAAGTAGTCGTGAGGCTTGTGAGATCTATGAGTGGAATGATCTGCGGTGCGGCTCCGATATGGATAAGGGGTATGCTGAGATCAAACGGCGATCTCATAAGATCTGGCATTTTGATATCGATGGTATGTTAAGACAATTAAAAGTAGAATATAGAAGACATTTTGGGGCGTGAGGCAACTCCAAGGATTGAGGAAATGAAATGGAAACTCTCGTTTCTCTTCGCGTCGCTAATTTTCTACTAAATGGTCGCATAATTGCTCCGTTTTGTGGATATTTTCCGTATTCGGTTATATATATCCTCCATGCTACTATCATAATAACGTTCCCATGAGGGTTTCGCAACCACAATGAAAAAAAAAAGAAAATAATCACCTGATTTTTCTTCTAGGGTTTCTAGAGCTATCTATGCAACAACAATGCGTAACCTTGGCTTTATAGAGGTGTAGGTGTAATGCTGGATAAAAAGAATAACACACGGTACGGCGCGGAGATATGCCAAGAAAAGAATTCCATGAAAACGGAAAGTAAAAGGACACAAGATGCCCCAGGTCTTACTGTGATGACGAGACAGTATGCAAAGTAAGTTAAATGCCTAGGATTTCTCCTAGAACCGGACTCTGCGTGAGGTCAAACGCTTGTCTGATATATCTCTCGTCTATCGAAAACGGTTGCGCCATCAGGTTAGGAATATACTTCCCCTCTAGCTCTTCAGCGTCTATATTACCCACTAGAAGTCCTGGCCGGAGTAAACATTGTCGGAACATGTCCACTGTTGAGCGCAGATGACTGGAATGGAAGGGCACGTCGATGCCCTGCAGAGGAATAGTTGCCTGGCCGCGCTGCAGTTCAATTGGTAGAGGAAGGGTCTTGGCATGATGCAGGAGGTCGCGGATTACTCGGAGAAGCTCCGTCGTGGACGCGTCGGTGGAGCCCAACATCTCCTGAACTTGTTTTTCTCCACTGGGGCACTGTGCGATATGGTCCATCAGTTTTCCCAGGACGTAAAGATTGGTCAACTGGGGATCACCATGTTAGCGTCGAGCGAATCTCCAGGGGAATTGTTGGAAATTTACCGTGCCCGAACAGACATACTGCTCCCCATCCACGTTCAAATTCACGATCTCCAATAATCCGCGGCTCTCAGCAGCAATCGTGCGAACCACAGTGCTCAATGAAGCTTGATCAAAAACTGGGTTGGTCAGCTCTCCCTGTAATCAGATAAAACTTTATGCACAGAGTACCTACATTTACCCACACGTTCTGGATTCGCAGCCACCATACCATACGTGGCGCTCTCTTCACCACCTCGTGCCGCCGACGCCTGCATCATCAAACCCCGGTAGAAAGCTAACTCTACGAGGGCAAGAGTTGGTATGAACTTTGACAGTGCAGACAACGCCCCGTATTCCCCCAAGGAATGGCCAGCATATACCGCCTCGCGTGAGACATAACCTTTAGCACGCATTTCTGCAAAAGCTGCCGCCTCGAACAGAAGAATCGTTGGCTGTGCAAATTGCGTTGAATACAAGAGTCCTCTAGGATCATGGAATGTGTAAGACGCTGATTTTGGTGTGAGTCCCACCAGCACTGGCTCTTGCACACGGTCACCGTTAGGAAGCACTCTTTCCGCTGTGATGGAGAGGTAATTCCCGCGGATTTTACGGCCTTGTTGGCCCCCAAAGCGAATGGTGAGCGTCTTTGGGTTGTTCCTGACGATATCCAGGACGGACCAGCCTATTCATTTTGTAAGTAGAACCGTGCGGATAAGAAAAGTATAAGACATACCGTAAGCGTCGTATAAATGCGCATCAATCTCGTCCCACAGCCCCTTGGCACTTGGGCTGCTATTGTATAAGTCCATACCCATACCTCTACTTTGACTACCTTGACCGGTGAAGAGGTACGCTGTTGCAGGCTGTTCCACTTCGGCCTCCGCATGCATCACCTTCTCTCCGTTACTAGTTCGGCATGCATCTACAACAAATCGCATTCTCCCTTCAACCATTCCCACATGCTCCAGTCGCACTGCCAACCTCTCTGAAGGCATCACCATCCCCAAAAATTCAGTGGAAAAACTTCGCAGACGTGGCCGGTCACTCTTCAAGACCAAGTGCTCAAGAACCGCAGTTACAATTGCTGACGTGCACATACCATGGGACAATGTGCCTGGCAGTTGGGCAAAGCTAGCAAAGATGGTTGAGACATGAATAGGATTGAAATCTTGTGAGACTTGAGCATAGTCCCGGTTGCTGGCAGGCATTTGGATTTCGAATGTCGATGGGCTAGACCAGTCCGGTTTTGCAAAGTCTATTCTGCCTCCTTGCGCAGTCCCTTTGCGTTCAAGAAATTCCGACACCGGGTTTCCAAGACAGTCATCACATACGAAATTAACATCTCCTATATGTTCAAATTTGTAGCCTGTCCGGTAATGTACTTGGCCAGTGACTTGAAGTTTTGTGCGCGCGTTTTCCTCATACGTAACGTGATTCTCGACATTGAAAACCACTGTCTTGCCTACCAGCGAAGGTAGAGCGGCAATTGGATGAAACCACTTTCGCGTCTTTAGCACCGTCTCCTCTGAACTCGATTGCACACTTATCGCCCAATCGCATAACTTTGTTTTGCGAAAGGTGTTTTTGACATTGCGAAAAGAACCTCGGAAAAGAAATGTTGACGTTATTGTCAACACATGCTCCCCAGAGCGAATAATCCGCGCTTCTATAACCACAACTTTGCCTGGATCTTCTATATAGACAGCCTGAACCCGAGATTGGGAGGTGACTGTTTCACCCAACCTCAGGGGTGCGGCGCCAGGAGTGTATGCGGTCGTGTTAGATCGATGAACTAGCCGAAGCAAATCACCTTCAATATCCATGAGAACAAGGGGGCGGCACATAACGTCCCAAGCGATAATAATGCCAACGCTAATAGGCAGAGTTTCTGAATCTGATAACGCGATCCGATAGTCAGGAAACGCTGCACCGACTGTTAAGGCCAGCCCCTCGAACCGCTTGCGGGTAAGCTTCATTGCACGCCCGTCGAAAGGGCTGTGCAGATCGATATTGCTGGTTGTACCCTCCCCAAGCCAGATCTCACTATAGAATGACTTGATGCGCTCGTTCCGGCCTTCCATGATCTCGCTCAGTCTGAAGGGAACCCTGCTAGGATCAAATTCGTAGAGTAGTTGCAAACTCTCTGCTTTATATGGAGGATGAAGTTCGACAATAATCTTCGCCCCATTCTGACATGTGATCGTCATCGAAGATTTGACGTCCAGACTGTCTTGAACCACTATAGATATCTCCAATCGGCTGGGATTGTATTGGATAGCGGATTTGGGATACTTCTCGACATACTCGCGGAAAGGATTCTTTTGCCGTAGTCGGCCCTGCAAGACAAACCTATCTTCCAGGACTGCCCGTACCCAAGCGGGAACGTTTCGGTCAAAGCTGTAGGGAAGTGTTAATGAACACACGCATGGATCATCACTGGAGTCCGAGAGCGTTGTAGAGGATGAAGTAGAGATTTCCTCCATAAAGAAATCTTTAGTACCGGGAGAGACTGTGGACCAGGAATCTGGTGTAACCAAGCCACTATCAATTCCGATAGTCAGTTCCTCTGTACACATATCTCGCTGAAAGCGGTCGCTGAGAGAAAATAGCAGAGTATTCAAAATCTCCTTTGCCGATTCTCCTCTATCACATGAAAACTTCGCTGCCACAGGGCCCTGAAGAATGCACACTCGTCCTGGATCACGGCCAATCACAGCGTCAATATCCTCCGATTGCCATAGCGAGTCCTTCTTAAAATAATACTCAAAATCGTCGTTTAGGGCGGGTATGAAGTTGACAGGCTTCTGATTATCCTTTTTGGTTTGCTTCAGGAAGAATGAGACATCTTCCGGATTCAAGATTTCTGCAACTGCAGCGGGACACGTAGTGTTAAACGCACGAACGAAGCGGGCTGGATCAAGCTGAAGTAATTCTCGAGAAAGATACTCTAAATTGTTCAACTCAGTTGGCAAGCGTTCCAAGGTACGGGCGGCAAATACGAACGTGAAATCCACGTAAGACGAGTCGATCCAGCGCTTTTGGTGACGAATATACATTAGTTCCACGAGCCGATCTATTACCTCGGCGTAGGTCATTTCGCTCAGGTCAAGGACAGCCCCTTGTGAGTTGCGACCAAACCATGGCTTTGCGAAGTCGGCATTCAAGCGACTGATTACCCTAACACGGTGTTTGGTCAAATATGGGAAACGATCTTGTCGGGGGAGACTGAAAACAGTCTTGTCCATTTCAGCCCACAGACGCACACCCCTGGTTGCTATCTTATGTATTGGCTCTCCCATTTCCGACTGCACTGTAACTATTCCCCCGGCAGTCCCATCATATGTCTTTTCCCAGTCATTGTCGTCCAATCCGGGTGTCGACGTGATAACATCCTTGACAGCTTTACTTGTATGAGCCTCGTTCGCAACCATCATGCAACTACCCAGAAGAACTCCGTCAAAAGGCATGGACGCATATCCCATCGGGACTGACCATAAGCCTGTAAGGTATGGGTAGATGCTACCGCTGCTACCGAACCCGCTGCCAGCCACCAAATAAATGTTCGGTTGTCGCCGTATTAGTCCGTACATATTCAGTATGGCAGCATGAAAGTCTTCGCGAGAGTGATGCCCTCCTCCACGACCACCAGTCCATTGAAGGATGAAAGGAAAGTCGGGGTGAGCACTGGCGATACTAACCACATCTTGGATGGCCGCCATTGACCCAGGCTTAAAACCGATATGTCGTAAATTTAGCATCTGTATGTACTCTGTGATGACTTCTAGCGAAGGGACACCGGCTCCAAAAGTCAAGCCGTCGATTGCGACACCAGCATGCGATAAACGACGTAAAAGTGGGATCTGCCATCTGATAGCACGAGGGTTGGCGTAAATCAGGTTACAGGTGATGCCTTGTCCGGCAGAAATATTCTTGACTAGCTGATCGATGGCTGAAGCCATACTGTCGGCACTATGGTACCCTCCGCCAGCCAGCTCAACGTGATATCCTGCATTCATGATGGCTGCAACAAAGTCCCAATGCATCGTAGTGGGTGTCATACCTGCAACCA